ATAGTAGGCCAAAACCTCCTTTCTAAGGAGAGGCCTATGCCCAGCAGTGGGCTATTATAGGCTGTTGATGACCCACACTTTGATGGCTCTTCATAGGTACAGTGGACAACATGCTCATGTATATGAACCCTCCTGTCTTCAACTTCAGATCATAGTTATTAACGTGGAATAGTTCCATTATCCACGGAACTCATCATCAGATCAGCTTTACGATATCAAATTGTACTGTCATCAAACAGAACGCACAAAGTTTGATTTAGGTACGACGATTAATGGGTATATAAGGACTCTAGTTAACGAAGTTCTGTATATATTTAAAAATGATTGCCAAAAGTATAGCGGATATAGATAAAATAAAAAATTAACAAACTATATGTGATAAAATTATAGCGGTTATAGGTAATAGTAAGAATTAACCAGCTACAAGTGATAAAGTTATAGCGAACAGAGCTAACATTAAAAGTTAACAAGCTACAAGTAATCAAGTTATAGCGGATGGAACTAACATTAAGAATCAACAAGCTACAACTGATAGAAATTTAGCGGGCGGAGGCAACATTAAGAATTAACTAGCTTCAAGTGATAAAGTTATAGCGGATGGAGGCAACATTAAGCATTAACTAGCTACAAGTGATAAAGTTATAGCGAATAGAGGCAACATTAGGAATTAACAAGGCATAAGTGATAAAGTTATAGCGGATGGAGGCAACATTAGTAATTAACAAGGCATAAGTGATAAAGCTATAGCGGATGGATGCAACATTAGGAATTAACAAGGCATAAGTGATTAAGTTATAGCGGATGGAGCCAACATTAATAATTAACAAGGAATAAGTGATAGCGGATAGTGGCAACATTAAGAATTAACAAGCCACGTGTGATGAAGTTATAGCGGATAGAACTAACATTAAGAATCAACCAGCTACAAGTGATGGTTTTAGCGGATGGAGCCAAAATTAAGAAATAATAAGCTACAAGTAATAAAGTTCCTTTAGTCGGCTCTTACGCTACCCACGGGATGAATAAAAGTGGTGACATTCCGTATTCTTAATCTTAATTTTGTCATGACTTGCAGGGATCCATGGGTGGCGGTAGTTAGCTACCATCAAAAAATGAAATGAATATTAAGTATATTATAAAACTGCGTCAGACTCGCAATCAAAATATGAACACATTTGTTTGGCACCTACGTCAATATAAGTGTTGAGGTAGGTTCAAAACAAATGTTAAACTAAGGTTTAGGTACACGGAAGAGTTTTTGTCTCGACTGTGTGGATCTTCATTTTATTTTTAAAACGGGTATTTTAATTTTACGGTTTAAGCTTTCATTTTAAATAATTATAAGATTAATGTTTAAAATTCTGTAAAACAAAATGCCTGTAATTCCTATAAAATCATGTCAATTTATTCTATAGCAAACCACTCGAAAACTCAGGAAAACTGTTTTTGCTTACCGAGTATTTATGTAATACCTACTAATAACCAGAAAACATCATTAAAGTTAAATCAAACAGTTTACTAACCCTAAAAAGACATCTTCTTTTCTTTTTACTCTTTCTACAATTTATAACTAATAATAATAACTTCACACATATCATGTCTGATCTCAAACTAGGCAGAGCTTGTACTATGGTAACTAGACCATTGATAAACATACTTATATATTTCTAAATGCACACACATTATTGATAAATTACACCCAGACACAGAACAGATGATCGTGCTCATCTAACAATTTGTTTGTCCTGGTTGGGAATCGAACCTCCGGCTTAACAGTAAGGGTCACTAACCACTAGACCAACCGGCACGTTTTTATTTTGTATACAATTATGAATAGTAATAATAATTCGTAGATACCATTAAAAAGTATTGTCTTTTAGTCAAAATTAAATATGTCTTCCGCGCGAACATATTGCAATGTTAAGAATAAAGCAATGTTATGAAGAGTTCCCAAGTATTAAGATTTAAGACCTACTCGTCTAATAGATCGCCACTTATTTGTACAACTACGATGAACATGAAATCCTACAAAATTGCGTTGCCGTGAGTTTCGAAATAAAATGAAAGGCCCGTAGCCTCGGCCTGCCGGCGCACATCGCTCTGTGTAGCTGTCTAACTCGGCCTTAAGATTTTTTACATTACTCTTTAAATTTGACCCTGAATTATTCAATTTTATTATTAACTCACGCTTCTTATTTATCGAAGATATAGGTAAAGGTGTTCATACCTACAAATCATCAGATCCATAGGATATATTAGTCAATAATGTATCGAGGCATTCAAACTAGAATTTGTTTTATTTTTGGCGCCATTTTATGTCATCAAATATTTTTCTTTAAAACCTATCAATGTAAATGTAAAATTTTATAAAATGTTAATTTTTTTTTATTCAAATATAAAAAATTTACATTTTATATTTGAATAAAATTTGGAATTAGAAATGCTAAAAATGAAAACAAAATACTAAAGTTCATTTTAATTTATAATTTTCATGCCGACTGCATTTTTTGTTTTTTTTAAAGCTCATTTCCGGAAACATTAGTCGGTCATATTCTTGTATATAGTTCATTGTCAAATTATGTATAATATGTATGTATTTATAAAAAAGAGTAAATATGTATTTATTTCAGTTATCCTATACCCATATTAAGCTCTGCTTAATTTGGGACAAGATGGCTTTGTGTGAATGTGTTAAAATATTATTATTATTATCATTTTATGTTTGAGGACCTTTGAGGACAGTGGAGTGGGGCATCATAGTGTTAAACCACTAGTTACACCTTTACAGGAAATCCATACTTTCATAATGTCATAACACCTCCATTCTAACTTATTTTTATTACTACTATTCATAGTTCTGCCGTGCCAAATCAATACACTGTAACTTTTGACTTTGAAAGCTTTGTTACAGTTTTTTACCATGTTAAAATCCTAATTTCAATACAATACTGATTTTTTTAGATTTTTGTCTCTTATAAAATACACTTTAGAATAACAAAAGTGTGGATCAGGGGTACTAAACCGACGTAAAGAAACTGATTGAACGTTGTAAAGGCAAAACACTATAAGTTACAGTTAAAGTTCGTTTTTCAGTTTCGAGTTACAGTCCTTTGGTGTGGCACGGCAGCGTTATGGTATATTAATATTTATAAAGATATTTGAAATATATATTCTTTAACAGTAAATACAGCGTGAAGATAAAATTATATTAGAATTCCTTCATGCCAATCTGTATATCGTGACATTGGTAAACTACGTCCTTGAGTCATTTCTATTCAAACATTTTACAAATGATTACTCATTCAATCTTGGCTACTTGTATCGATTCAATACAATTTTCACTTAATTCCGACTTTTAAATTTACAGTACAGTAAACAAGTGATGTTTCCCCAATCGATTCGATCGCCCTATGATCAAAACTCGACCATACTTGTCATCACTCGTTATCATAATTTTTGTGTTGTTTGCAAATTCTGTTTGGAGTCGTCGCAATGTGTGTGGCCGCCTCCGTGAAAATATAAATTTATATAAATGCCGCAAAGGAAGGTAAACTTATGGGGTGAGGTAGTTATGGTAGTTATGATGCCACGATTCTCAGATAATTATAATAACTTCAAACATCTCGCACACGGCATTCTGATCCCAAAGTAAGCAGAGCCCGGTCTATGGTAACCAGACTGCCAATAAACATACTTATATATATCTAAATACATACATATTTTCAATAAACTAAGACCCAGATACAATCCACGGGTGGTAATCAAACTCACGACCTCCAGTTTAGCAGTCAGGGTCACTAAGGACTAGACCAACAGGCCAACAGGATAGGAAACTGAGACTCAAGTCATTTGAAGATACGGGATAGTGTACGCATGTACTGGTGTTGAGCAATTCTTACTTGACTTTTCACTGAGTTACTGAAATAATCGGAGATCTAACCGTTAAACATTGCCATATCTGGCAAATTAAATTTGTCATTTCCTTACAAATTTAAAATGTACTGTTTATCAAACTATTACTAAATATCATTAGTGGCAGTTCAGTGACAAGCCATCATTAGTCTTAGATAGTTAGAAGAATACGAAAAGTGCAAAACTATTCCGATAACAGTCATTCGACAGTCTATTGATACAATATTAAAATAGCAGTGTTGAGGCCCAGCTTGGTCCCATTCCAAAAATATTTTTAACACGATGCGCAATCAATTTACCATGAGCCCTACAGTGTTTTGTTTACATCATTTGACTAGTACTTAGTAGCCAAGGGCTTGAAACGACCTTCGTCATTTATATTTTATGTTAATATCAAGTTTGATTGAGGTTTCTTAAATACGTTCTATTACGTAAGCTCACGTTAAAAAATAAACAATAAACTACGTGTTGGCATTGCCAGTAAGTTTTTTTTAATGCATTACATATTTACATTTTGTATTACTAAACGCCTCCTTATGAACTTTAATTATACGCAGTCTTGTTTAACTGCCTATTCACAATAATATTTAAAAAAAGAAGTAAGGCCACATTTAATAAGATACATATCAGATGTGAGCTTCCAATATTTTAACACGGAGCAGAGTTTACGATATGATACAATAAGGTATAAAACATAAGACTTTTCTTTTGTAATGATAATAAGATGTTAACTTATTAATTTAAAAAAAAATAACACGCTGACTCAGAACAGCAATTTGTGGATCACACAATGTGTTGTCCCATGCGGGGATCGAACCAAAACACTCAGCGCAGTAAGACGCGGCGAAGTGACTGCTTAAACCACTACGCTATCCGTTCAGTCAAAACTACTTTTTATTATTATGTTAAAGTTCGTTACATATTTATAACTAATACATTAATAAAATTATCTTGTAGATATACACTTTACACTTTCTGTCGAAACAACTAACCGTGTCGGAGTATCTGTACCATTCTGTAAGCCATGACAAATAGTATCACAAATCAATTTATACACCTATCTAATTATTTTATATTTTTTCTTACAGTTCGACCTAGGTTGTCAAAATTGGAAGCGTTCCTTAGTGGGTACGGTCCACAACGCCGGTTTCTTCGTAGCGATTCCCCTGACGGGACTGATCTCAGATAAATATGGCCGCCGTCCCGCTGTCATCTTCGCTGCTGTATCTAATGGCGTCTTCGGCGTCATTCGGGCATTGTCGGTTAATTATGACATGTTCGTTGTGTTTGAATTTCTGGAACCAGCTTTTGGTGCAGGCGTTTACACAGCATGTTTTGTACTTGGTAAGTTTTTTTCATTTACTACTACTAATGAAATATAATCATGAAAACGTAGATAAGAATTCAATACTCTATTTGCTCTATGCTTTTGCGATTCCACCACACATATTACAAGAACCAAATATGGGGGACCCAAAATATTTTTGTTTAAATATGGGGGTATTCCTATTTTGCCTCCTGGTTTCCAAATCCTCGAATTTACTTCAGACTAATATCGAAGCCAATTTCAAGACAGTATAACTTTGCCTAGGACTTTTCAAATGTAATGACATTTGAAAGGCTCGGTGTGCTCGTGAGTCACTGCTGTTAATCCTAGTGTCCAGAAGTTATAGTGAGAGCGTGGGAGGGGTTAGTCCTATTAAAAAAAATACTCTAAGTGGTTCTTTGATACGATTTTTATTACCCTCCAACCTCATAACCTTGCCAAGGAATACCTACCAATAAATACACTATCTAATACAAGAACAATTAATCAATTCCGACAGACAGACAGTTTCAGAAATAGCATGTTGAAACAACAAAATAAACGAACAAAAGAACTCTAAATTAATTTTTAAATCTCCATCTAGTCCATCAAAAATGACCACACATACGAGTACAACAAGATCTTGATGCAATATAGAATATTTAATCAAAAAGATAATCAGTCGATTCTCAATGAACTCAAAGGTCATTGCACGCGGAACGGTAAGTACCAAGTTACCAACACAGGTCAGCTTCGGAGGTACCTGTGATTTTCCTTGAGAATGTGAACGCAAGGCAAAATGACGGCACTTACGGAACTGTTAACTAACAGATAGCAATAAATTATATTGAAATTTTATAGGCTGTTTAGTCTAAATCATCATAATTTCCTAAGAAACCGCGTCTCAGTTGGTTGTGACTCCTAAAACCAATAATAAGGTAGGTAACTGTAAAGTCAAATTAGCATCTTTTATTAAACGTTAAAACAATAGACGTAGAGACCCTTTTTGTATGAAATATTAAGGCGTGACGTCACGCCTAGCTGTTATCAAATCATTTACTTTTAATGTTGATATGAAGTTATTGAAGAAAATAAAACCATTAAATTCTTAAAGGAGGACAATTGGGGTGATACCCTATCTCCCCAAGTTCCAAGTTCCCCAAAGCTTATAAAATAAAATTGTACGACACTGTGTTGATGAAATCTACAGTCGCCGAATCAGTGCTTACGTGATAATGTATAGGGTTTTCCAATAAGAGGTGTTATTTTAGTATTCAAAGAAAAATGCAATTTTTTAAGATAAATAATCGGCTGTTTATTTTATAATAAAGAGGAAGGTATGCCTTTAATAATGGAAGATAGCATCAGCCAAATGGCTACCACGACCACGCTTACAGGTCGATATCCTTTTAATGAAATTTTGCATAACCAAATCGCAAAGTGGCTGCCCTATGTCCTAGATAGCCTCACGAATTCCATCTTTGAGGTCTTGAATCGACGCTGGGCTGTTGGCGTAGACCTTATCTTTCACGTGGCCCCAAAGGAAGAAGTCGCAAGGTGTTAAATCACAAGATCTCGGTGGCCAATTGTGATCACCTCTTCGAGAGATAACACGGTCAGGAAACTTTTCCCGTAAAAGAGCAATGGTTTAGTTGCTTGTGTGGCACGGAGCGCCGTCTTGTTGAAAGTAAACGTTGTCCAACTCCGGCCATAAAAAATCATTAATCATATCTCGATAGCGCAATCCATTCACCGTAAGTGTTGATCCAACCTCATTTTCGAAAAAGTAAGGATTGGACCTTACTTTTTCGAAAATGAGGACCCCGACGGATCATAAACCGCACCAAACAGGTGACTGTTTGGTGCGGAGGAAGCCTCTCCATCCTCAACGTGTGAACGTTGAGGATGGAGAGGCTTCTCAACAATAACTCTTGGGTTTTCCGAGCCCCAGATGCGACAATTTTGCTTGTTGACGTAGCCTCCTAGGTGGAAATGGGCCTCATCAGTCAAGATGATTTTTCGATGGAATTCCGGATCATTTTCATGCATTTCAAGTACCCAATCAGCAAAGACACGACGTTGTTGATGATCGGCCGGCTTGAGTTCTTGTGTTAACTGAACTTTATAAGCCTTAAGACCCAAGTCTTTATGCAAAATACGGTGTAATGACGTTTGTGGAATGCCCGATTCCAAAGAACGACGAGGAATGGACAAACCTGCGTTTTCTTCAACACTTTGGGCTACAGCAGCAATATTCTCAGTTGTTCTTGAGCGACGTGCACGGGTTTTATTCTTCACATCACTAACTTGTCCCAACAGCTCGAATTTTGCCACCAATTTCTGTATTGCGGTCCGACAAGGTGCTTCACGACGACCAAAAAATGCTTTAGTTTTGCGAACTGTGACTGCAAGATTTTCACCATTTTTGTAGTGAATTTTAATAATTTCAACGCGTTGTTGAAGTGTGTATCGTTCCATTTTTAGTAATGGCGTAGTTTCTACTTGTCAAATGTCAAAAAATAAAAGCTTCAAAAGTGACAGCTACCGAAATACCGGGAGATTCAAAATAACACCTCTTGTTGGAAAACCCTTTACTTTCAGGAGTTAAATTTAATGTTAGTTTACATGCGTGCCGAGGCTTGGCAAACGTCCGCAAGCTGCAAGCGTTAACAAAGGCTTGGATGCGCATTACACGCTTGCGAGTGTTTTAGTGTGTTCCAAATAGGCAACCATAGCATATGTGGACATATTTTATTTTATTCAAAATATAAACGGCGCTAAACTAAAAAAAAACTTCTAGCCCTACTGCTCAACCAGTAGAGTATTGAAGCTTAATGTTGATTCCCGATTCAACTAATATAAAGTTGAGCAGTGGAGAACAAGCACGTTTCAACATGTAGCAAGGTTCGCAAGCTTTCTTTCTTTCATTCCTTCGGTTTTGAACACTGATGTTCTACCGACACTAGCCCCTATGGCGACAAGCTCACGCAAGCCAAGCCAAACACCCCATTTTCACGTTTTCTGGATACTTGTCGAGGCTAACGTGTAAACGGCCTTTAATATTTCAGGTCAAACAATTTAGTTCAAACATAGGATTCTAGTTTGTGCATAAGTGTGAAGAAACTGCACTATGAAAATTAAGGGTAGATGCTCACGCCTAAATCTGATCATAAAAATTGAAGCTTCTTAGGTAGTATACATTTTACATTTAAAACCGCATATTATTACTATCGCCTCTGCGTATCTCTGTTGACATGCGAAATAGATTTCTCATATCAGTTTAAGATTTAAAAAATATGTAAGTACTTAAAAATGAAAAAGTGTCAAGTGTATATTATCGGTCTGAGAGTTCTGTACAAACTAAATGAAATCAAAAGTATTGTAGGTAAGCATAAAAAATTGCTCTTCTGCGATATATGTTTTTAGTTAGCTATAAATATTATTTTTAAAATTACATTAATAATAACTTCGTTAATAAATACTTAATAGGTTAATAAAATAATACGAAGAACGTACTTATAGATAAACTTAATCAAAAATAATAAATATAGCTATTATATACTTTAACTGCTCAATAATAACGTTTATATTTTATTACTGTGGTAAAGATCACATTTCCGTATTTCACAAAGAGCAATCAATATTCTTGGATCTGCGTTTCTAACATACTAACAATAAATACCTTCTAGTAATTAATTGAAATTATTAACAATGTTGTAGATAATGTAAAGCCAATATGCATATAGCAATGGCATATAGTGATACTTATGCGAGAATGAACTTGGGAAACATAGTTTTATAATATAGAGGGTAATAGCCCGTGTGGTGACGGATTAAGAATACGGAGTGTCACACCTTTGTTCATCCCGTGGGTGTCGTAAGAGTCGACTAAGGGAGCAAACTACGCAGGACAACAGCACTACAAAGAGAAGGAAAACTTGAAACAAACCTTATACCAAGCCGTCTGGCCAGCGTGGAATAGTAGGCCAAACTGCCTATGTACTATTAAAAGCTGCAGATGATGATTGATGATGATGATGATAGTGGGCAAACCAGTTGAGGGGTCACCTGATGGGAAGTAACTACTATTGGCCTGTTGGTCTAGTGGTCAGTGACCCTGACTGCTACGCCAGAGGTCATGGGTTCGATTCCCACCCAGGGCAAATAATTGTGTGATGAGCACGGTCAGTTGTTCTGTGTCTGGGTGTACTATATCTATAATATGTATGTATTTAGAAATATATAAGTATGTTGATCAGCAGTCTGGTTACCATAGTACAGGCTCTGCCTAGTTTGGAATCAGGCGGCCGTGTGTGAGATGTGTGAAAATATTATTATTATTACTGCCCACAGACATCTGCAAATAAGAGCCAGTAAGTAGTAGTAGCAGTAAGTACATTGCCGCCTTTTCAGCCCACCCTCCCGTTCCCTAACACAGAATTAGGGGGCAGAATCCCCAAAGTGTAGTTGTGAGTGAGGTTACCGAAGCCCAAAAGAAACTTCTTTTTTTTGATGTTACAGGGGGCAGACGAGCAGACAGGTCACCTGATGGAAAGTCAATATCGCTGCCCATGAACGTCTGCAACTCAGGAGTCACAAACGCGTTGCCGGCCTTTTGGAAAGGAGTACGCTCTTTACTTGAAGGTTGTGTCGGCCCGGAAATACCGCAGACGATAACTTGTTCCACAGATTGGTTGGCAAAACCTGTCTCGAAAAGTGCACAGTAGTGGAGCGCCAATTATCCAGGCAATAGGGACGAAAATTTTGCCGTGTGGAATGATGGTGAAAAATTTGCTGCCAATATTAGTCCGAACAATTCCTCGGAGCACTGTCCATGGTATATACAATAGAGAAAGCCACCAATTTGTTATTTTCTTTTAAAAAGCCATCTAAATTCAATACCTTGACTTTCGAAATCTATCCATTTGGAAGATACGATATAGATAAGATACGATACGGCTTCATTTTAAAAGTCAAGCACACCAGTATTTGCTTTAATAATGTTGCCAATTTAATGTAACACCAAATACCAAAATTA